AGCTGCGCCAGCAGCAGCAGCAGCAGCTTATGGGAGATCTCCAGTAGTAAGTGTTTGCTCCTACCATGTCCAGTGTTAGAGAGCAGTTTATTTTAAATTTAAGACTTGAAGGGTTAACTCTAGTTCAATCTCCTTGTAATTTGGGGGGTATGGTGTGGAGAACATGAATTAAACAGGCTTCCTTTGCCTAATTCCATCTTTAATACATATTTTTTGTTTTACTTGGGGAAAACTATAGGTTGGTTTTGATCCACATCATCACATGCGAGTCCCAGGCATCCCTCCTAATCTCACAGGCATCCCAGGAGGAAAACCGTGAGTATCAAGCAGTCAACTTTAAAAGTCAATCATCTGTTCACGTTGTGTTCCCTTGCCAGCTGGAGTTCCCCTTAGCTACTGAAAAATATTATGTGAATTGAAATAAATACAGCTGTTCAGCAAGGGCAGAAGGAACCCTGTTTAATCGTAAAGCTGCATTTGTAAATTTGTTTTGAAGACTAATAGCAGCCTACAAGGACTGGGTGATTCAGAGTAAAGGAGACAGATAGAATGGAAAAAGAAGCTGAACTTCAGGGTGTTACGTGCTGAATCTGACTCGTTGGTCTTATATGGAAATGCAAACTGGAACAGGATCTTGGCTTTCCATCCCTATTGTACTCTGCTTCTTAGTTGAAAACATTTCTTTGTTCACAGAAGCCTTGCAATTACTTGCAAACTTATCACCTGCTATAAACAGCAATGTGCAGAGAAGGGAATGCTGAAGTGTTCTGTTTGATTGAAAATACTAGAAAGAATCAGAAAATCAGAATGTTCAAATTCATCCTTGATGGACATGACCATAAAAGGTGACCTTCTCTGCCAGGCTTTTCTTGTTGTGAGCCTCAGGAAAAGAATTGTGCAGATATAAAGAACTCTCTGCTCACATCCCTCTTGAGTTAGAGAGGGGAGAAGGTAAAACACCGATGTAAACCTTATTGATCCACATTTTATGTAAGGGTCCTCCAGTTCCAGTTCTTGTGTGATGCTTGCGGGAAACTGACCAGCTAATCTGGGAGACTTTGAAGGACGTGGGATGTTTGTGCCATTCCTTCTCTCACTCTTTTATGTATGACCGTGTTAGTGGAGGTGTGGTTGAGGGGTAGTCACACACTTGCATGCACCTGAGTAGACACATACACTTACCTGCTAGTGAGCTTGTGGACATGCAGGATTAATAACATCATGGTGCCAAGCAATCAGTCCTAGTGCCTGTAACTTCTCTTGTACTTACGTGTTACATGAATTGTAAACCTTGTCTAGCTCTCTCAGACATCACACACTAGTTAACAACCTCAAGCTGACTTCTCTGCTAGTTGTACCACCCTGTTAGGTGACTGTATAAGGTGAGTACAAAAGTCCATGGGCAGCAGCCTCTGGACCAGGTGCTTCCATTAAAAATTCCGTGGGGCACAGATCATCTTCCTAAACATGCAGTGGGCACTTAGAAATGTCTTGACGTGATGTTTGAATGTTCTCTGCCTTCAAGTTCCTCCTTGATCACCCAGAAGGAAGGATGACTGGCTCTACCAGGTTTTGCTTTCTGTGATCTCATAAACAGCAATACCATGGATATGAGGACCTCCCTACTCATGAGATGTGTTAGAGATGAGGGTAGTAAAACATGAGGCAAACTGAAATCAAAACTGTTCAATTCTGGTCCATCTCCAAGGTTTTTAAATATTGACGTATTGATGACTGTTCTAAATATTTAAATGTAACTGTCATTTGTCTGCCATAGCCCTGAAACCTTTGCAATGTGTGGTTATTTTAGCATGATTACATTGATTTTTCTTCATCTTAAGTGCAGTACTTTTCACAGCTATCATTCAGGACTATTGCTTTCTCATTTACTCTTCTTTTTCCCTTAAAGCAAAAGTTATGTAAATCCTCTGCACTGTTAAGTGTCTGATGAAATGGAGTGGGCAGCATGTAGTACACTGGGGATCTGTCCCTTAATCTCTTTTCACTTTAGAGATATATCAAAATGCTGAGGGTTGTACAATCTATAAATGTGAAAATGAAAAAAAAAAAAAAAAAGCTTGCGAGGTGTTTATAGTGTCAGATATTTGTAAGATATTTAGAGCACTTCAAATAAGCACCATGTGGTGTTATTTCTCAGAGTGAAAAAAAAAACAAACAACAACAAAAAAAACCACACACACACACAAAAAAAAAACAACCAAAAAACACACACACAAAAAAAACCAACAACAACAAAACAAAACAAAAACAAAAACACCACAATAAAGAAAGCAACAAAGCAACAGTTTAATCACATGTGCTGGTATGAAGTAATGGATGGAATGAGAATAATTTAGTCACAGATCACTCCAGATCTAAGCTTTATTTCTATAATTGTTAATGTTCCCTATGGACTTTATAAGCATGCTAAAAATGACTTTGGCTGAGTATCATACAGTCAATGCTAAACTGGCTGAGTATCATACAGTCAATGCTAAACGTGTTCTGCATACATAAACCAGAAAAGATGATGATGAAGTTGCACTTATTTTGTTAGAGATTTCAGGTGACAATCAGCTGCAGAAAGCAGGAAGGAGATAATGAGGAGTATGCTTCAGATTCCTACAGTAATAATCGAACCCTAATTCTGCTCATCTAGGCAGTTTGTTGCTTCTGACAGCCACAGAAATCTGACCTACTCCTTCCTGAATTTGTTTAGTGTCAAAAAATGGGGAATGATGACATGATCTGTCTCTTGGATCTGCCAGAACAAGAAACAGTGTGCAGGATGAGAAGAGCATGTAAAGCTCTAGTAGTAGGGCAGAAAGGTGAAAATGGAGTTGCATTTTGTCCCACAGAAAATTATTGTTCTAGTGTTGAGGCACTGTGAGTCTTAAGTAACAAATTCAATAGCTGAATTCCTAAGTATTTTTTTTTTCTTTTTTTTTTTTTTTTGTGAGCCCTTCTCATACCACCATTGTGACAACGGATTTTTCATCAGTACTATGATGACTTTTTTAGGTCCAAGGAAATCAAAGCCTTCCTTTAAGCACATCTTGGTATGTGTGGGTGAATCCTCTTTTAAAGTTTGTGCTCTTGTAATGGATGTGATGTGTCAGCATCTCAGAACAAGGTGATTTCACAACCTAACTGTTCTCCCTGGAAAATGTTTTGAGATTAAATTGTTGATAGGTTATTCACAGGTGGCATTACTGGCAGTCACACAACACATTATTTCTCAGCGATGGCGCATTTTCTGGCAAGAGAAACTGGGATTTGTAGTTGTTGTGTCAGGTCCACACACACAAGAAAAAAGGAAAAAGAAAACAAACAAAAAACAACAAAAAAGACAGCATTTTTGCTGATCTGTCATGTCAGATGTCAGCAATTGTGCCTTGAGGTCTGAAGTCCTTGACAGTGGAGGTTTCACTGTACCCTTAGGTATAGTGCTGGGCAGTTTTGCTTGAGGGGCGTGGGACTCACGGTGCATTCAGAGCAGCTTGGCAGCAGTCCAGCTGAAGTCAGTAAGGGAACAACCAAATGTCCCCTGGCACTCAGCCTCCCACCATACTTTGCATCAGCCAGAGAACTATTTTTGTCTTCCTGGGGACTGTGATCCAACCTTCCTTCCGTTGTCTGCCTATGGTGGTTTCCCTGCGCCCCACATTAAAGAGTATCATCGTGTGTTCTTGCTTATGCCAGAAATCATCACTGCATAAGTTGTAAAAGCTCATTTGATTGGTAGATTGCTTGACTTCCCATGTTAACAGAAGAATTCTGTAAGTTGATGCTTTGAGGGCCATGCTATGGATAAATAAGTAATTTCTTCTTCACATGATTGAAAAGCTTGCAAAAGGAGCTAAGCACACAATCTGAATGTCTGAATCCCTGCAGTGGAAACACATCTTTAATTGTGTTTTCTTAAACAGGCTTGGGGAAAAAAAAAAATGCTTCCTTTTTTTTTTTTTTTTTTTTTTTTTTGTCTTCTCTTCTTTCTCTTTTCCCAAAGAGCCTACTCCTTTCACGTTACTGCAGATGGTCAGATGCAGCCAGTTCCTTTCCCTCCCGACGCCCTCATCGGTCCAGGAATCCCTCGCCACGCCCGTCAGATCAACACTCTGAACCACGGGGAAGTTGTGTGTGCAGTTACCATCAGCAACCCCACAAGACACGTCTACACGGGTGGGAAGGGGTGCGTCAAAGTCTGGGACATCAGCCACCCTGGCAACAAGAGTCCTGTCTCTCAGCTGGACTGCCTGGTAGGTGAAGAGTGGCATACAACAGTGAAAGCAGATACCTGGGTGTGTTAAGATTGAAACCATACCATTAAGGCAGAAAAAACAGTGGGTATTTGAGTGCTGTCATTGGTATCAAAGCTTGGTGTTTCGTTTGTAATTTTGTTGTTTAAAACTGAATTTGAGGCAAGTTCCATGTCATATTTGTGGGTTTTTTCCCTGAATGAATCAAAACATCTTTAATATCCTAAAATCATGTTGGTAGGGGGAAAGATCAAAGACAGCACAGCAAATACTGTTTATAAACTTTGACATTTGTTGGCAATTTTAAAGCTTGATATCCTATCGTGCTAAAAATTGCTGTCTTGCAGCTGTATTCTGTGAGAATATTTGAAGACTGTGTCAGGTATTTTGTTGTTGTGTGTATGTATAAAGGAATTGCCCTGCCTAAATGTGACAATTAAAAATATCCCTTAGTGTTATTCACAAATTATTTGAACGTGCTAACACGATGAACCATTGTTAGCAGCTTTTCTCATGTCATTTACCAGTTCCTGGTAAGATGTTGCTTCTTGTTACAGAGGCGATAAAATGAGAACTGCACAGCACATGTAGACGCATTATGAATTGCTACACAAGTTGCTACACAAATGAAGAAAATTGCCCAAATATTTTCCTCTGACATCTCCTAGATGGTGGCAGCATGTCTCACTGGAACAGAGGTGGGGGGAGTGTGCAGGGAATTTGGTACTCCCCCATGCCGAGAGGTTAATCTGCTGAAATAAACAGAATATGAAAATGTAACTTTCTACACAAGCTGTCGAATACAGCTATCTTGAGTTGTTTTGGGTTAGGTTCAGGACTTTGCATTTCGATGCTAATTAAGATTAAATATCTCTCACTACTGAATTTTGTAGATCAAGTTTAAGTACTTCCCTAATGTCATGTAATTTTCTGGCATTAATACACTTTGTCATTGTCGTAAGTATAAATGGCTCATTAAAACCAGGAGGGAATACAATACTTTTATGGATTTCTGCTCTCATGTTAATGCTGTTTTCCTTTCCTCATGAGTAATCTCTTGATGGCTTCTGTCTCCACAGAACAGAGATAACTACATCCGTTCCTGCAGATTGCTCCCTGATGGCCGCACCCTGATTGTTGGTGGTGAAGCCAGCACATTATCCATTTGGGACTTGGCAGCTCCAACTCCTCGCATCAAAGCAGAGCTGACGTCTTCTGCTCCAGCTTGCTATGCCCTAGCTATCAGCCCTGATTCCAAGGTCTGCTTCTCTTGCTGTAGTGATGGGAACATTGCAGTGTGGGATCTGCATAACCAGACTTTAGTAAGGTAGGTTGACAGAGATGGATCATCAGGTTGTTAAGAATTAATTAGACACAGCCTTACGTGCTCTTCTGCGTACATATGCCGTTTTCTCCGTGATGTCTGCATAGCTAGGCAATAGCTACAGTAAAACCTTGACAGAAGTCTGTATAATTGTTTATAGGTTTTGAGAGTTTCATAATTCCAGGCCTGTTGAGCAGCCTGTAACTCTAATTTCCTAAGATCAGCTGGTGTTGACACTTCTGTATGTTCTTTGAACAGATGGTTTTCTTTGTTTCCATGCAATACACTGTGCTCACACTCCAGTCTCTTTAATCAGTGCTCCAGCAAATATGTCTTGGGTAAAGATGTGTGTAAATTATGGCATTGCAAACTTAGCATCTTTAGGAGTATGGATTGCTGCTTGATACTAATGTACACACAGTAAGCTAGTAGCCAGTCATACAGAGCTTCTCTGTGCACTGCACGGTGTGAATGTTGGTTTGTGTAATAGATCAGTATTGTGTGTAAAGGCAGGTTTTCGCTCCCTGATGATCCTATTTAGACCACTTCTCTTTTTTTTCCCCAACTTTTTTGGTGACCTGCAGATTCTTCTTAAACTCGTTGAATTTTGACATTCCTTTGAGGGGGAAGTTGGGTATTTTCAGTCAAATAGTGGATATCATGCAGTCAACAGCAAGGATCCCCAGAGTATCTGACTTGTGAAGTGTGCTTTTTCAAATCAAATTAGCACATGGATGTTGGCCTGGTTGCTCCATCAGTTCATCACAGAACTCACACGGTCATCCTAGAGTTTATATTAACTTCAGGTTGCTACTGAAATCTGTTTTGCTCTTGTCTTCAATGGCTACTCGTCAGGGACTGAAACTAAAAGGAGGCATTTTGAAGATATGGTCAGAACCTGCTCTTTCCAGTGTGAGAATGTGTGCATCTCTTTTCAATATTTTCAGGCAATTCCAGGGCCACACAGATGGAGCCAGCTGTATTGACATTTCTAATGACGGCACCAAACTATGGACGGGAGGCTTGGACAATACAGTCAGATCCTGGGATCTCAGAGAAGGGAGACAGCTACAGCAACATGACTTCACGTCACAGGTTCAATCTCAGAAACTTTGGCATGTTAGAAAACCATGACAGATTTTTATTTAAAACAAACACTTCTGGTTTTGAGGATGGGATTTAAGCAAAAAAAGCAGGCTCAAAATGAAATCCAAAGAATTTTTCACTTAGTCTCACAGTCTTTTGTGTGGCAGCTAAACGTCTTTCTGAATTATGACTATTTGACAGATTAGGACTTATCCCATGGTAGTAGAGAGAATCCTGAATCCTGTTCATAAAAGAATTGCCAGATTAAAGTGTTCTGTGTGCAAGCTGTTCCCATTTCTATAGATTCTTGTTAAAAAATATTTACCAAAAATATTTTTAACTGCTGTCAGATAAGCGAGGACATTAACTTTTATAGCTTGATTTAGTGCTTTACTATTGCAGTTTTAGCTGAGCTTTGTTTATGTGAACTAATCTATGTTAATTACTATAGTAATTGGATTATCACATTTTTAGAACTGTAGTAGACTAAAATGTGTTTTTGCATAGTGTTAACAGTGTAACAAGAGTCGGCTTTCAATACCTCAAGCTCATTCCTTCACTGACTGAAGCATGTGCTGTGCTAATTCCAGATCTTCTCACTGGGCTATTGTCCAACTGGTGAGTGGCTGGCAGTAGGAATGGAGAACAGTAATGTCGAGGTGCTGCATGTTACTAAGCCGGACAAGTATCAGCTGCATCTTCATGAGAGCTGTGTGTTGTCACTCAAATTTGCTCACTGTGGTAAGCAAGTCTTTCTATGCCAGTGTTTTCCCTCCTAAAATATTCATTCTAAGATTGCCATTAAATGAAAGTAGGGGTAGAGTTAAAAACTAGACATTAAATTAAGATTATTCTAAAAATTCTGTGTGACTGCTTTTTTGTGTGAACTGCTTCTGTTGTGATTGAACACCATCATGCAACCAGATGAAAATGTGACTGCTCTTTGGATATGTATTCAATTAATGTGTGAATGCACTGGGTTTGTGATTAATTTGTTTCTTGGGGTGCATTCCTCAGAAACAAAATGCAGCAATAACATTTAAACAATCTGTTTCAGGCAAATGGTTTGTAAGCACTGGAAAAGATAATCTTCTTAATGCCTGGAGAACACCTTATGGAGCCAGTATATTCCAGGTAATAATCCCCTAAAAGCTATTTGCCACATACATTACAGTTCAGTAGAGCTGCACATCTCAGGGTCTGTCATTAGCTTAAGGAGATTTTAAATGGAAATTCTTAGCTAATTACTGAGTTCCTTTAAGACTTTGTCATTAAAGAGAGATGCTTTCGTCCTTTCTAACATTTGAGTAATTTAGCTCTTCCAATAAAGTAGTCCTTTAATCTGAAATTGTTTTCAATATCCTTTTCACCTTCTTACGTGTATTGCTGTAATACAGTACCCAAGTCATGTTGTTAGACGAACATTCACTGAAGGTCTAAAATGTGTCTAAAACAGTGGAGGTCATATGCAACACATGTATTTTACTTGGATGAGATGCATAAAGTCAGTGGATTGGACAGGCAGACTTCTGAGCTGAAGACTATCCTTTTGGGGGAGCCCTGTGGAGTGTAACTGGAAGTTATAACCTTTCTGTGTCTTCAGTCCTTCTGTGCACAATTTTAGTGGCATTTCAGTGCCATTTAAGGAAAAGTGGGGGTTTTGGCATGTCCTCCTCTTTTCACCTACAGGTACCTCTGGGATGGCAGTTTTTTTTAATTAAGTGAACCAATGTTCTGGTTTAAATGGTAGGGTCTTACCTGTACTGTTGTCTGCCACGTCTCTGCCTTCAGGGACAGCTCAGTTTGCCTTGGCATGAGAAAGCTGAGGTGTGAGGGTTTTTTTAGTGCAAGCTGTTCAGCTCAGGAACCACCTCCCACAGAACACCCAAATCATCATAACAAGAACCCACCTCCCCTTACGAGTGATGTTAAAACCCCAGTGCATCTTTCTTACTTTTAGGGAAAGAAACTTCCTGTGCAGTGCAGCAGAGGTTTCTTGTCAAAAACTTTACATGACTGGGAAGTGTTTAGTTCTTGCAGAGACAGGCAGAAGAGAATATGAATGTGTGTGATGTGAAGGAAACATGCACTAAAACAGCAAGTAAAATGTGATGATGCATACACATCGTCTCAGGAAAGGCAGAAAAGCTGCAAAAGACAGAGCTGTTGGATCCCAGTGTATCCTGTCTCCCATCCACCTGCTCTACACAGTTGTGCATCCTATTCCACCACAGCATCTTTTCATATTTGCAACTCCCTGGTAACATAAATTCCTTTGTACAAGACTTCTATCTTCCATGTTGAGGAAATAGTGAGAGGAGCTATAGTTACTTCTGTAGTGCTTCTCTAGATGCTGCTTTACAACAAAAAAGGGAGGCAGGATGAAGAAGATGGCTTTTCATTCATTTTTATGCAAAGGCTAATGTACAAAATACTTAAAAATGCTCGTTGTTTGTAAAGTGTATAGAAAGGCTGCTTCTTTTTGTTTGATTGATAGATTATCTCTAGGTCCGTAACATTCACTTCCCTTTCTGCTGCTGTTTTTTGTTGCTGTAGAGCCTTGGGTAAAACAGGTTTGGAGAAAGTGTCTTATAAAAAAGCTGCCACTACAGTGCTGATATTTATATGAGCTTTTGGTGTATTCCCTCTCTATAAACTCTTCCAATTAATCTTCAAGCCTTTCTGGATTGAAAGATTGAAAAAACATAATTTTCTTTTTTTTTTTTTTTTTTTTTTTTTTTTTTTTTTTTGATATATAAATGAAAAAAAAATAATTTTTTTTGTTTTTTTTTTTTTTTTTTTTTTATCTTGTAGTCCAAAGAATCGTCATCTGTTCTTAGCTGTGATATCTCTGTGGATGACAAATACATTGTCACTGGCTCTGGGGACAAGAAAGCTACAGTCTATGAAGTTATTTATTAGAGAAAAATCTGAATACAGACAGAACTCCTTCTCCTAGCACTTTGCTGTATATTTCTTTTTTTCTTTCTAAACTGCAAACTTAAATGCTCATCAAATTGTGGAATTTATTTTTACCTTCTTAACTTGCTGTTGATTTGTGAATGCTCATTAAGAACTTGTGATACCAAATTGTCAGCTATCTACTTGGAAGAAGATGGAATAAGCATACTTAACAGTGAACTTGACTCTTTAATTATGTATTATAGCTGTAATGTATTTATTTTGTTTATAGAAGGCTTTCTAACAATGAACTGACTAAATAAAGCTGCCTGGCCCAGCTTTAGTTTGAAAGGTGCATTGTATACTTTGTGTTTTTGCAAATGGATAAATTGGGGATCTTGGAGAAGGATGTTCAGGACATAGTTAAAGCTACACTAAATAGACTTGTAGTTTCTATTTAAAAAAAAAATAAACTTTGTTATATTTTTTAGTCCTGTTCTTGGATGAGACCTCTAAGTGTTACTACAGTATAATTATTTGGTGGGAAGATGCTGTATCTTAACTATTTTAGACAGTCTTGGAAACTTAGGAAATTGCAAACTGTAGCCAGTGATCTACATGCCTGTGATGAATGGCAAATTCAGTTCACATCTAAATTAAATTCACTTTAAATTAGAATGTGCTAATTTATATATTTGCAATGTTGATATAGCATCTTGTGTACAGATTTGTTCTCAATGCTCTTCTGTTGATAAACATAAAGCATTTTGGTGTCAAGCTAGGTTTTTTTAATATAAACACCTCTCTTTGTTATATTGTAGGGAGTACAATAAGTTGCCTCAAAGAATCACCTTTGTTACTTCTGGAAACTTTTGCAATGTTTCCTTGAAAATGGGGATATGTGTCTTTGGGCAATTTTTCAATTACAAGAGATTATGAAAAATATTTGATATGTTCTTTGGAAACTGCACTGAAATAAGAATGGATGCCTACCAATATACAAACTACAAAAGCAATGACCTCGAGGTAGGATTTACAGGAGTACTCATTCCAACATACAAAAAGGAATGGATTCTCACTGGGATATGGACTTGCTTTGTTCGCCAGCAGTTCAATCCAAGTGTTGATTGGATGTCCCTAAAATGGACGCAGACTGAGCCATTGTGCCAGAGACAACGTGTTATCTTTTTATGTTGTTGTTGTTGCTGTTAAACTATGATCTGTGACTTCTTTTTTTTTTTTTTTTTTTTGAATGCTTTAAAAAAAAATCTTTAAGTCTGTGGATCTGCTGATGTACAGTGCCTTTGCTGCTATGGATCAAAATCAAAAGACCCGTGTAGATAAATCTTATTGTATAAGTAGAAAATTACTTAATTTCATACTAGAAATGGATTGATGCTGCAAGTTAAAATGGACTGTTCATTGAAGTTCCAAATGTGGTAGCAAAAAATGGTGTCTTAAGTGCTTAGTGTTTGATGTCATTAACAGTTTCGTAATACTCTACATTGTAGAAAGATTTTGATACTAAACTGTGTCATTGTACATAGTTCTAATGCATTGTATTGACCACCAGTACTTCTATAATGGTAGATTATTGTTTGTGCATTCAGACTTTTAAGCATTAAACATAAGTAACTTCTAAGATGCATTTTTCTTTTTTTTTTCCTTTTTTTTTTTTTTTCCCCCTCTTCATTCTTTTTTCATGTGCTGATTGCAGTTACATGTCGAGAATGCTGTTTGGAGGGACAATGGACATTCTGTGGCAGAGCATGCTGCTGTGGATACTTTGCAGTTTTGTCACTGAGAGGCAATGTAGATTTCCACAAAATTTCTCTGTGCTAGCAAATGCAGTGCATTAGTAGTTATCCAAATTACCTGACTGCAGCGATTCTGAATTCTTGGAGGCATCAGCTGCAAGACTTTGGCTGTGTCACCTAGGAGTTGGCCAGTTCCCGTTTGTGTTGTTTCCTGCCTGATACAAAGCTTTACGTTATCCCATACCTTGGAGGGAGTGAAACTGGGGGTGATTCCTGCTCTGGTGCCTTCTGGAGCCTGCGGAACTCAGCAGGGCATGAGGAGTGGTGTTGCACTGCAGTGTCACACCTGCCTTTCCTCATCCAGAGCTAAAACCTCTTTGTGCCCATGGAGTAGCTTCACTTGACTAGAGTTTGCTTTAGAGCAAGGATTTAACCCAGCTGCCACTGAGTTACGACACAGGTTTAAGTGAACTAGGGGAAGTTAACTTACACACCAGGAGTGGGGGTTGCTGTGCTATTCATAGCAGACAAAACCGAAGTGGAAGAATCTCAGTGGGAAACTGGAATTAAATCTTTCTCCCATGATGCGTTTCTGAAAAGCAACATTGTGCAGGTTGGAAATTCCCGGGCATATAAGCCTTTCCTGCTGTGACATGCCAGTCCATGGTGCCTGCTGGTAGTTGAACCCAGGCTGAGAAATACTTCAGGTTTTTTAAGTTTCTAAATGAGGTTTAAGCTGATGAGTTTCATTTATCTGTACCATGACTGACAGGGTGATACTTGTCGATAGAGGAGTAGATGAAAGTTTCCCTCAGAGCTATCAGTTTCTTCGTAATTACTGGTGAGGAGTTTTTCAGATGTCCTCTAGAATAATGTGAATTTTCATTATATTTAAGTTCTCTGTTACTCAGTACAATAATGTTTCATAAAGGTAAACATGGTGCAGATGCTTTCTGTTGTTACTGTTGTTTGAAGAGATATTGTTTACCTGATATAAATACTGTATTGGAAACACCTTTTATTTCACCTTTTATTTTCAAAGTCATGTTAAAAGATTAGGGCGCACTCCATTTGATAACAAAAGATAAACCACCTACTTAATATTTGCAGAAGCTGTTACATTTGTATGTAGTAGTTCAGACATAAAAGATTACATAAAATCGCTAAGATAAAGCTTTCCTTTAAAAAGAATAAAACATTGCATACTCCTGAATTTGTACCAGTGCTAATTTTGACAGCAATGTAATATACTTTTAAAGCAGCCTGCCATGTATCTGCTTGTTAATGTTTCTATGGGTGGCTTGAAACAGTCTAGGAATTAAATGTTTAATCCAAGATTACTGCAGTTAGATGTGTAATCGTCCTAATTTTTTCCCCCTTCATGGTTCAGTGCAAGTGAAAGATGGTACAGAGCTACTTTTTGTTTTTCTGATGACTCTGTATGTCATCTTCCTTTTCCTTCTTCAGTTTCCTTTGCCACTGCAGAGCACAATTTTTTGCAAATGTTTTGTTAAAGATGCTTTTTGTGCCACAAACATGTGGTCCACATACTCCAAGGTGCAATCATTGCTTTCTCTGTATTCTTCCTCTCTCAAATGTTGTTTAGTGCAATGATGCATTAGGAAGGCCATTTCTTTTTAATATTTGTTTCCTTTATGACTGGGCAGTATAGACAAGTTTCAGAGGAGCACGTCCCATCAAAACAGTATTTTCAAAAAATATGCAGTATAATTTTGCCTGTTTGTTCTTAGCCAAAAGTGATTTAACTCTCCTATTTATTTTCTTTTCTTTTTCAGTTATGTTAAAAAGAAAAAAATACATTTTACTGGCTGTGATTTTCCAGAATGAGGCATTTTTAAATCTGTACTGGAACAGTTCAAACTGGATTTTGTTTTTGGTTTTACTGTGGCATCCAAACCACGTAGGAAATTCCTTCTTCCTGAAACATTGATGGGTTTGTGACAGAAACAGGAAAGTAGCTGTGCAGGTCTACATATGTCTGGAGTGTCTTCTACAGAAACACAAGTCGAATTGTTTGCATATAAGGGTTAATCTGTGCTGAGGATGATAATGCTCCCATCGCTTACACAACTGAAAGCAGAGCTCACTGCTATAGGCATAAAGGACCCAATCATCCCATTTGGATTAAAGGGTTTTGGTTTGGTTTGGTTTTGAAAGTTGGGTCCTTTGGGCCTCTTCTGTTTTTCTACTAGCATGCTTACTTGTGATCATCCCTACTTAAATCCCGATGTGACTAGCTTCTACTCAAGGATTTATGCTTTGAAAGAAAAGAAAAAAAAAAAGTTTAAATAAAACCTACTCAAGTTTTTTATGTACAGAATTCAGGAAATTCAAAACAGTAGCATGAGTTGTAACTGTTTCTCATTTGCATTGAAAACATTACATCTTCATGGCATCAAATTAGCACTGAATTCTTTGTGCCATCTTTGTGGCATCAAATTAGCACTGAATACAGCAACACAAAATATGCTTTAGAACATCAATTATGGCTACTGAGAAAAATGTCGCTTTGAATTTTTCAGAGCAAATGCACTCTGAAGACCTCAGCCAAAGAACTGCTTTTTATGTGGGGCATGTGGGGGTAGTTGCATTCAGTGCTGAAGACCTTCTTTGTATTGGCCACAGTGGTATTGAAGAGGGTTGGGCAGTATGGGCTTTACATGCAGCGTGCCAGTTATGCCATATGTTGGCATGAAGATCCCCTTCCCAGCTATAGCAGGTGACGAGTCCTAGAGTAGTGTGCTATAGAAGATCATCTCTGACAAGCTCTTAAATAATGCACCTGCTGCATCTGCTTTTGAACCAAGAGTTACTCAACATAACCCTTGAGATTTCCTGTTTCTTCCAGTATTTGGAGTACAGCGTTTCCACCTCATAGCAAGAAATTTTTGTGTCAAAACCAATAAATGTTCTTACTCTTACCAAATGATTTTCTTTCCTGGTTACAAGGAAGCAGTATTATAGTGTCTTTTTTTATTATTAAAAATGGTGTAGTCTGACATTTACAACATGTCTATAACCTTGCCATCAAGTGCAAAGAAGCCCTTCTGGGGAGAGTCACTTACTCACATCTTTACATCCTAAAATGTTGTTGCAGAAATACACTTTTTTCTTTTTGGGGGATTAACGTGTGGTATCATATGCATAGCATGCACATTGAGTAGTAGTTACTTCTGCATCTATGGTTTGGACTCAGCCGATTACCCCAAAATGCTAAAATGCATCTGAAGGGTAAAATCAGTAAGTACAAATATTTAAGGATTTTTTAAAAAAATCTGATGTTCTACAGTAATTATATTGACCCAAACTGTCTTTTAATGTCATATCAAGGTAAGCATCTGTTTTACACCTCCTTTTCATATTCAAATGAAAGAAGGGGTGGTGGAATTTGAAGCAAATCTGTACCTTTCAATCAAATCTGTTCTTTTAAAAATACTCCAGTGCTGGTGCTTAGAGAAATAATTGTCTTGGTTTTATTGTCATTATTCTTAAAGAATTTTATAACAAACATGCTGTGCCATAATCCACAGTAATGCTGTAAATGGGGATAGATAATATGGCTGCTATTAAAAGCCAAGTCTTAGTGATATTGGCATTAAAAAGAAAAGTGTGTCTTGGTGGTTGAACGTGTTATCTCATTTCCTGAGCAAAGCAATGTGGATTTTTGGCAGTATATTTGAAGGCATGTGGATGTTTTTCCAGTATGGCTTATGGAAACTTCGAGAATCAACAATCCTCTCTTGATATTTTTACTGTAATTTAGGGTGCATTTGATGCAAGAAATGGTGCATAGGGATGAGTTGGGTCCCAGGACCATGGGCGGGAGGTGCTCTGTGGAGTGAGATGCTCTGTTTCTGATTCCAGGCTCTGCTCTGTGCTTCCTGGCATGTAGTGAAATGATTTTCATGAGCCCTGTGTAAAGCATTTTTGCGTTCTTCGGCGTTAAAGCCTTTATTTAAAAGCTGGATATCTGTTATACAGAAAAATTTGTAAAAGCTGTGTTGAATAGAGAGACTTTTTCTGGTGGTGTAAGAACAAGGCGGACCTCTGGTGAATAAAGCATTTTAATCACTTTATCAAGCACTTTAAATGTGAAAATTAGGAATTTTGCACTGCTGCATTATAAACTGTCAGTCTTCAGCTGGAGTGCCATGAAAAAGCGTCCTAAAATACATGGTATAAAGATAACAGAATTCCTTGTGTTTCAGCATGACTTTAAGGTATTAAGGTAGGAAGTCCAATTTACATTCATTGTAGAATAAACAAACACAAATCCTCTTGTGATAGTAATGATGACATGGCTAGCCATCTTACAAAACTAGTGACATTGAAAGCATGAGGATAGTTACCAGGTTTTCTCCTCTCAAGGACATGTAGCAATAAGTTACAGAAAAATCTGCTCCTTTTACAGTATAATATCCTGAGTGTGGACTGTGGTGTTAATAGTGCAATGAATTTTTTTTTTTTCAAAAGCAACATTATTGTCATCCTCCCATTTACCTTTGTATGGCAAATCAGATTATTTCATTCAGGCTTCTTAGAAACAATCAGAATAGCTTCTCTACGTCATATCAATTTTAGGGATTTTGCCTGTGACTTTTCTGCTATTTTCTCACTTCATCCTCCCCTGCTGAGAACTTTCCTGAAGCTAATGTTCAATGCTTAAGATATGCTGTTGCTTGTGGCTTGGTCTTGATCTTGAGGTTGCTCAGTGAGTGGGAATGGAAAGTGCTCACAGGATTTGGCTGGCTGTAACAACTGCTGTGACAGCTGTTACAGACGTATTTATGCCTCTTTTTTACTCTGAGCAGTCTTAAATAAAGAGATGCAGTACGAGCAGTATTCTGTCTAGGTGACCCTTCTGCTTTAC